GTCATATTGTTGTAATCGCCGCTGTGCGTGTTTACTTGTTCCCACGCACGCGAAATTTTTAAATAAAATCTGTTTGTCCAGTAGCATTAACCAATGAGTATTTGTTTGTCGTGGGAAGAAGAACAAATCGTCATTCAGTCGACAATACTACGGCTGTCTTGCATTGTTTCCCAACGTGTTCTAAAAGTTTTCCGCTTTTGTTATTATTTTAGTTACAAAAGATTCCGTCGGTATTTATAGTTTTACACGACTGTCTTTTGTCCAAAATAGAGCGAAAAAAAAATGTTCACTTTCAGTGATATCCGAATTGTTCTTTCAATCGGTCTGAGAGCATAAAATTTTTTAACTTGTTATTTGTAATTGTCGAGATTAACCAACTTGTGTTTTTGTTTTAAAGATTTTGGTACTACGTTTTCCGGGTTTGCGCTCAAGCATGTCGAAGATGAAGAGAGCGAAATCTTTATCAATTGGTAAGGAAATGTTTAATTGGTACAAAAATATCCAGCCGTCTTTGTAATAACACATCATGCTTGTCCGTCAAGGCCCAAGTCATCGAGGGCCACAGTTACATCTCCAAAAGTGCCGACAGTGCTCCTCTATGACGAAGATTTGAATGTCCGCCAATGGGGTTATGCTGCGACACTGCTCGACGAGTCATATGATGATGAGGATGAAGCATTGTTTGCGGAACAATTCAAACTGCATCTATCCGATGACGCTGACATCAACAAACCATTGCTGCCCCGTGGCGTCGATCATATCAAGGCGATCAACGACTATTTAAGAGAATTAACAAAGGTAATTTTAGTCGTGTTATTATTATGTGTTACTAATTATGGTATGGTATAACGGTTCTAATTTCCAAACACTTTTTTAGGTCATTCGCGATAGAATCACAACGAAATGGCAGGGTATGCAAAAATTTGGATTATGTTGTCAAAACCACATATATTTCTTCTGTTCTGACACTGATTCGAAACATCCCTCGCAAGGCTCTGTCAATTTTCCCGAAAATGTCCGAACCGTAATGACGGTACCAGTGGAATGGTCGGATGACGCTATTACGGCAATGCGTGATGCCGCTCTCGAGGTTGGCCTGGTTACGCGAGCGTGCTTAGCTAATTTGGAATTTATAAATGAACGTAAGTTTTATTTGCACAGAAATGGTATTCAAATATACACAAATGGAATTACATAATTTTGTCAAAACTCTTGTTAGCCGAGGCGGCTGCCCTTTATTGCTTCGGCAGCTGTCCTGAATACAAACTTAAGCCGGGAGGTACGTAGAACCTTTGATAAACTTGGAGCTATAATTTTTACGCTACTTTTTAAACAAGTCAATTTTTTAGACGCTTTTATGACTGTCGACTGCGGCGGAGGCACAGTTGACTTGACGACGCGATATTTGATCGAAGATGGTGCGCTCGGCGAAGAAACTGAAAGCACTTGCGAGACTTGTGGCAGTACATTTGTCGATAAGGAATTCCTTAAATTTATCGGGCAACGTTTAGGCATCAATAAACGGCAAATGAACAAATTACGTAGGGATAATTGCGTCGCTTTTCAACAACTAACTGATACATTCATTATACCTATTAAGACTGACTTTACCGGGGAAGAATCTGATTTTCCTCGTGCACGTCGCCTGCGTCTTGATTGTCCCAAATATCATGTTTTTGTGGAAAATACCAGTTTCGAAAAGAGACACTTAATGACAAAAGCGGGGTGGATAATCGACATAAAGTTTCACGACGTGAAGAGAATGTTTGATACAGTAGTTGACAAGATACTCCGGCTCATTCAGTAAGTTAACTTTGAAATGAGCATTACAGATGAGATGCGACATTACATGTACTGAATTCGTCTATTACAGTGATCAGATTCATAATTCCGGACGTATGTGTTCGGCGTTATTTTTAGTAGGAGGATTTAGGTAATAGTAAGGGAATCTATCGATTGAGGACAGTTCAGTATAAATAGAAAATTTAACTAACTTGAATGCTTTAATGAAAAAAAAAATAAAAACATACATATAGCGAGTCGGTTTATCTTCAAAAAAGGATAAAAGAAAAATTCGTAAAGGACGTCAGAAAGATTGTCGTCCCGCGAAATCCAATCTGCGCGGTCATGCGAGGTGCACTACAATACGGTTAGTATTTATACTATTTCTCGCGTCACCAGAATATTTGTACTCAAACAGGTTCTCACTCCATTCCAAGGACTCGAAATTGAAGAAGATCCGACAAAAACCAATTATAGATGTAACAAAATCATAAAAACACGTAAACTGAGGTACACATACGGTACCGAAATCTTGAACCCGATATTATTTGCTTGTGGAATTCCAGGGTTTTCAAGACTAGCCAAACGTGGTGACGAGGTGACCGTAGGATCAACCTTTAAAGAAATATATTATCCCGTTTCACGGCGACAAAAGCAAATGAGTATGAATTTGTATTACACGCGAAGATACAATGTCCTAAGTCCTTTTGAAGAGGATGTTTCCATGTTGCATGAATGGAAGATTAATGTACCAAAAGTTGGAGATGACGAAGACGTTCCTGGCATCGAGATGTCGTTAAATTTCGGTCAACGCGAAGTGACCATCAAAGCGAATCATTATCTGACTGGAGAGAAGTGTGTCACTAGCAAACTACCTCGGAGAGATTGTGTTAAAACTGAGTTGTAACGGCGATAATATCTTTTCTTTTTCGTCATTTAAGCGAAACTTGTATATCATCGATATTATTTAGTATGTGTTAGTAAAATGTTGAAAACGTTAACAGTTTATTGGTGACTTGGAAAACCTAAATGAAATAACATGGTTGAAACTTGAAATTAGGGTAACTTGTCAAGATGTACCGGTGTCATGAGTGGAAGTGAGAATATGTAACAAGACAAAGATCTCAATTGACACGGAGTTGACTAATGTATACATATCGTAAATCGTGCCAGAGTGGGAATAAAGAATCTATTCAGCTGTTGATCTCTGCTCCCCGGACAAACCTGCTGTATTTCAAAAATGT